GAACAGTGCATTTGTTTCGCCGTTCCGCCGAGATGAGTAAGGATTCCAAACAAATAAACAAAATTGAAAAAAAAATTGAAGACCGAGCTCTTCAATGGCCACCAGGAAGCGATCTGCTGGAAATGCGACGGAGGAAAGTGCAAAACCACCTCCCAAAAAACCTGCTTGTGAGGATAGTTCTGAAAAGAAGCAAAAGAATGATAAAATCAAGAAGGATAAGAAGAAGAAGAAGGGAAAAAGGAAGTCACATAAAAAGAAAATTATTAGTACGAATCTATGAACTAGTAATTGTATCTAAATAAAAGAAATTCAGAACTCACCGCAGATGTTATGAGAGTCTCTCGAAACTACGAAAGAGATCAAATACGAATGGTTCTTCAAGAATCTGAAGGTTCTCCTCTGATCCTAGCCATCTGTAGCTATGAATGTGGAAGAAGTGTCAAGTTCGGTGATAAAATACAGATTGAGGCGGAAGTGAAGAAAAAAAGTAAGTTTTCTATCAATATCTAACATTTTAATGGTTTTTATCTGACACAGATGATTCGAACGTTGCTACCGAAATTCAGTTTGATAAGATTCTGAAAAACGACAACAACGGTGCCAGGAAACACATCTCTCGACATTCAATTTCTTGTCCACCATTTTGCAACAAGCCAAGATGTAAGTATTTATGGTAATCTAACAAATCTCTCAATATTCAACGTTTTCAGTTATCCATGAGCTATCGGATCTGGAAATCAAAAAAACTGTTTTACAAGTCAATGTTCTAGATTTGAATTTAGAAATTTATACAGGGTATGATGATTGTATAGTTCTAGCAGCCTATATTAGCTTTTTGCAGATGTGTCAATTGTAAGCATGCAATCACTCCAGAAACTGGCAAGATTCAGTGCTCCGAGTGTAGAGAATCAAAAACGAAGACAATGGTTTTTGGAAGGGTAACAGTTTCAATAAAATTCGAAAATCGCACACTGTCGTCTTCCAGATGCGAGTCATGGACTTCTCTGGACAAATATACGTCAATGTGAAAACGAAAACGATGCAAAAGTTTTTAGATATGTTTGGATATGATGACGTTGATCAGTGGATCCAATTTAAAGAACCACATGAACGGTATAGTCTTTGTTCTCCATATACTTTTGACAGACAGTTTTCAGTGCGAACTATGTCTTCCAAGCGCTGATGATCGAAATTGAAAAGGATTTGTCAAATGAATGGGAATGCACTGATGTTGCAGAAATGAACTGGCGGGCTTACGCGGATTATTTGAAGGAAAAGGTTGGTAAAGATAGCAAAGATAGCTTCGATAGTTGTTTTTTTTTTCAAATAGTATTATTCAGAATTTATTCGAAAAAATTTATTGTGATAAAAATTATTCTGGTATCGTAGCTGTGGAAGAGAAAAGCTTGTGGGCATGGCAAACGGCCCCTGTGAAGAAAAACACTGTAACCCAAAACTTTCGGACTTTTTTTCTCGATTACTATTACTTTCCGACAATTTTTGTGTTGAAAATCTCCAAACAGATCGGAGAATAAATTTTTACGAAAACCAAAAATTGCCGGAGAACAGACAGCAATGGAGAAAAAAGACACGTGTTTCCATGAAAAAAACAAAACTTATAAATTTTGAAAAGCTTGAAAAATTAGATATAATTCGACTTGACCTTTTGAAGCGATGAAAAGTAAAATAAATAGGTTAAACCGTGCCGAAGGCGCACCAGCCTGCTGTTTGAAGTATAGGGAATTGAATCAAGAGATCTTTGCTCATGTTTAGCTCAGTATTTTTTTCCTAATTTTTTTGTTTTTCAGGAGGAGAAACAACTACGACGAGCTGAAAAGAAGATGAAACAATTGTCGAACCAAAACGATTCACAATAGTTCTGAGAACCTAAAAACTTTCCATTTTTATCTGATAATTGTTTTTTTTTTGGTTAACGAGTATTTCAAATGCTTTATGTGACTGGAAAATATTCGCACGCATAAAAGAGAAACCCGGTAAAACATGTACAAGTATTAATACAACGTTAAGGTATAACAATTGTAACATTGAAAATTCTAGAAAATGATTGAATGAAAAGAATAGGTTCAGAAAGATGGCACAGTCAGCAAGTTGGCATTGTTTTGGCACTCTGAAGTTTTGAGCTTCTCAGCCAATTCTTTGTCTTCAAGTGCAGCCAATGCGATGGTGAACTCTCGTTTCGTGTTTTCTTCTTGTACATTGTACAACGTCAGAGATCCAGAACCACGTCTGTTCTTGCAACGAAGACCGCGACGACGACACTCGGACTCGAATTGGGATCCTTTAACTTTTGGACATCTTTTCACCGTACACACTTGACTTCTCAATTGCTTTTCCGATTCATTACACTGTTCGAACCATTCCTTTGTGTAGTCACAAACTGTGTTTGTTGTCACAGCACATCTGTCCAGAATCATAGTTGGGAAAGCTCCCAGTCTCGCGAATCTCCTCAATGCACCATCTCCAATATCCAAATTTTTAGTGGACAGAGACGCGAATCGAACTCCATCGATGCAAATTCTTCTGACGGTCGATGCATCCAATTGAGCCAAATGTTCATCAGTCACAGAATCAGCACGCATTCCAGTACATTGGGTGATTTCAAAGATTTCCAGAGTTTTCGCCATTGGCGCAAGAAAACGATGAAGAGATAAAGAGTTTGAAGGAGAGAAGTCGACTTGAGACAATGATAATTGAATGAGTTTTGAAAGATCAGAGAGTTGAAGAAGGCTTCGGAGGAAGTCAATGAGATCATCCGAAAGTGGAACATTCTGAAAAACAATGGAATTGGAATATAACACTTCTTCTTTGTATTATTTACCTTCAATAAAATTCTCTGAATTGAAAATCTATTGAAATTGAATTCAAAACCAGATTTCGGAGATCGAACGACATCCCATGGGACTACCGTAGTCTTTGTCTTTTGACCTTCATAACTGACCCATCTCATTTCGATTCCTTTTTTACCAAGGCCAGAAAGCACAAGACGAGATAACTGAAATGGGTTTCAATGAGACATAAAAACTACCAAAAACTAATTATCTTACCACATTCATCTTCACATCGGCTACATGGTCCATACAAGCATTGAAACGATTAGAAACTCGGCGAATAGCCAGAACGGAGGGCTGATCCGTTTTGCAGTTCTTGAGGATTTGGAAGAAGATCTCATTTGGAACGTGCTGAAAAATCAAAAACTTATGTAGACAGTAAAAAACAATTCACTGTACAATTTTCTCCCGTTCACTCTCAAAAATATCACATGATCATCTGATTGACCTTATCATTAAAAAAATCACATCAGACACAAATGTACTATTTGTGTAGTTGTACTATTTACAACTACCTTTTTTCCGGGTATATTGAGTCGTGACGTCTATCCCGTTGATCTATATTTCAGACCTTTTCTTGTGTTCTTCCCGTGGAAGAAATAGGTTCAATGCTACAAAATCATAAGACTCTTGGACAGCTGTTCGATTGAACAAACTTTTGATAGAGGGGAGAACTTTTCTAATCAAACATCTTTTGTTCCAAGAAACAGGAAATATTGAATTTGGGAGATCTAAAGAGGTGGCAGAAGTACAAAAACAAGAGAAAAAAGAGTTACCGAAAAATTTCACTCTAATAGAAGATCCCTCTGAATTTTGAGCTTATTTATCTCGGCTCCTAGAAGAGATAACAAAATGTTGTCAACTGATATAATATAGGTGATATATTTTGTCAGTCGACAAATTTTTGATATTTCTTATTGGAGTTGAGATAATTGAGCTCAAAGTGCAAGTTAAGGGTGACCTTCTATTAGAGTGTCTACGGTCGAAAAAATCCGATGTTTCGAAATTCCACTCTGAGTTTTTCAAGTTTCTGATTTTTCGAATTAACTTCGGTTTTTCTAAAGAATGTTAATTTTCTAAACTTCTGATTTTCCGATTTTCTCAATATCTTTTTTTTAAAAATTTGTTTTTAGATGCCCAGAATTTTTTTCTCTAACTCACATCAAAATATGGCATTTTCTCTTGAATTGTCACAATTTTGGCACCAGATCCAGTTTTTTGAGAAACTGTATTTGAAGACGTCGTTTTCTTTCCAGTTGAAGTTTTGGTGAGAATCCATTCAGCAAGCGATTTCAACCCATTTTTCTTTCCCTCTTTCTTCACTTTCCTACATTTTTTCTCCAAACTGAAAAAAAACTTTTTATTAGAGGTAGCTGAAAACGAATGCAATACAACTCACAAAGATCCTTTATATTCTTTTCTGAAGTCGTGAGACACTGTTGAAGTATTGAAACTACGCTTCCTTTGCAACTCCATGATTTCGAGAATTCTAAAACGAAAATATTAGATTTCAAAACAAGGAAGCTCAATTTAAGATTCAAAAATGATCGTTGAGAGAGAACAGAATGATGACAGAATCATAGAAGAAAGTGTGAAAGGCGGAGTTTAAGAGAGACGCAGAGAAATCGGAGACACTGCCGACTCCGCCCACTTCATGGGAAATTCACGTGGACAGCAATGAAACGAAGAACGAGAAAAGTGACTTTTGAAGATGTACAATGATTGAGAATAAGAAGAAGAAGAGGAGACGATAAGAATACTTGTCTAGAGATGGAATGAATTTATTTTTAGAATCACTATGATTTTCTCAGAACTGATTCCTTTCCAGATAATGGATGGTTTTAGGTTCCTGAATAATTTATATATGATCTGAATATGATGAAATGAAAGCTCAGAACATGGCTCATAAAAAACTAGGAACATTTGTACATTTGTAATTTTGAATGTTTAAACTTGTGAAACAATGTCATCTTTCTGGTGTTTGTTCTACTGTTGCTGTATCTGGAAACAATAATGCTCGTAAATTGATTGGATTGAAAGACTTATTATATTAATACGAACAATCAGAGCAGTGGAAGAGAAACACGGGTGGCTGTGGCCGAAGGTCTCACAACGAGCACTACCTTAATCTAAAAGTATTTTTATTTTTGGGATTTTCTCGTTTTTTGCTGATTTTCCCTTATTTTTCTGTAATTTTTCCCAAAAAAGTCGGAAAATTAAAATTTCTGATAGTGAAAAGATGGACTAAAACTGCACGAAAATTGAAAAAAAGACTGAAACTAAAAATTTTTTTTGGTTACTGTAATTGTAGCCGTGGGACCTTCGTTTGTATATCTGGTCCATCGATTTCTTCCAACCTGTTGTGTTCTTCTTGTTGTTGTTGTTTATAGATTTGTTGATGATTTTCAGATGATAGAACACTTAAATCATGTTGAAAAGTCTATCGAGATCAATTTCAGATTTAACAAACAATCTTTTTGATAGTCATCTGATGAAGTGATCAAAGATCAGAGCTAACTAGAAACAGGCAAATTCAGTAGATTCTGCGTTTATTTGTCCGGGCAATGACCGCGCGGAAATAGAACGACAGAATTCAGTGCGTATTCTGATCTATCTACGTCATCAAAAAGAAAAGACTGAAATATGGGTTCAACACAAGAAACCAGGTTTTTGAAAGCTCAAAATGATTATTCTCACAATAACTTTTCAAAATTCTGAAGTTTAGTATATCCCTCCAGAGATGTTGGGGACTGATATAAGAATTCCGAAGATTTCAAAAGTTTCAAAATCGATATATTCCGAAATTTCGAAACATGAAATTTTCGACATCCCCAAAAACTCCGAGAAGGCCATTTCGGATATCCATCACCGCAATTTTTATTGGAACATTCCAGAAGGTAACAATGCTCTTTGGATTGTTTTCTCACTTCTATTCTTGTTATTTTCATTTGATTTTGAACTGAAAAAGTGCACCTAAATATGGGCAATGATTAGATACTTTACACTACATCTTAACCATAAAAACAAGATTCTGAAATCAACTGAAAACGATAATTGATGTCTGGAGGAAAAGGGAACAGTATTTAGTTTCTAATTTTATCTAATAGACTCCGCCCACTACAGTATGACAAGTTGATCTTTTGAAAAAAAAAGAAGATAGAATACTTTTAAAAGTGGTGTTTGTTGTGTGATCCTTGTGCAATTCACGGGCAACAGAAATTTTGGTAGTGATAGAATTTGTATTCGAAGACGGATTTGAACTCTGCTCATGAATCTGAAGATTTTCAAAAAACATATGGGCTTTATGGAACTACAACATTGATTTTTCTAATGTCGAAGTCGCTACAGTACCCAACCATTTCCATGAAAATTTGTCTCATGGTATTTACGAACAACAACATGCTCGATCTGAACGCTTTCAATACTGACCATGGTCAGAATAAGATTAATCAGTAAACCTTGATGTATGATGTGACAATACAATTTTCAGATCCTGACCACACAACATTAGCAAAGATGGAATTTACGAAATTAGTTTCCTTGAAAAACTCGCACGAATATACCGTAAATCATGTATTTCATTCAACCTCGTTTTTTGCGAAAATAGAAAATTGAACGACAAAACGGATTCATAATTTTTAAACCATATCGATTCGAAACACCAACTTGTTAATAAAAACTTCGACATGTGAAAAACAACCAAGTTATGAGTGCTCTTCTATTAGGGGATTTACCATAAGTTATTCAACTTCCAGGAGCTGGCTATCTCTACTATTCTGGTATCAAAAAACCAGAGCTGTGGACGAGAAACGACGATGTCCGTGGCTGAATGTCTCACAACGAAAACTGCCGTAACCTAACAATTTTTTTCAGGATTTATTTTCTTGTTTCTCATTGAAAATTAACAGAAAACTTGACAAAAGGCAACACGAGAAAATAAGAAAGAAAAAATTGTTTTATGGTTACGGTAGATGTCGTTGGGTCCTCACCCTAATAGAGTTCCATCCAAACTATCAACTTTAAGCCCATATATCTCTTTCCCTACAGAGATCTCAAAAAGCGGTCAACGGATAAAATGTTTATCATAACATCCAAATAATTTTTACAGTTGACCACTTTTTGACATCTTTCACAGGAACCGAGATAAATTGGCTCAAAGTTGAAAGTTTAGGCGACACTGTAGTGTTCACTTCCGGAAAGTGATCAATAATATTCCGAATGCTCAATTATTCCGTAACCCAAATAAATCCCAGAAAAAGCATGGGTGGAATAACTGCCGAAAAAAAATTCCTTGAAAATGTTCAATGATTCGTGCTTCTCATCCGTCTCTCATCCTTCCTTACTATCTCTCTAACGTGTTCTTTGAGTCTGCGAAAACTTTCGAAAGACGACCGAAAACAACTGATGCGATTAATAGAAAACGAGACAGTGTAGATAGTGGAGAGACGCAGAGTATCGTGTCTTTCGAAAATCATTCCATTGAGGAAAGAGTAAGAAACGCAGAGAATCCATCTATCAACGAGTTTCTTATCAGTGTAACTTTTGCAGAAAGAACGAAAAAGAATAGATAATGGGGAATCGAGAGAAAACGGCACTGACTTTTGAAAGTCGCTGACACCGATTCTTCGGAGAAAAATGTTTGAGGAAAAGTGATGTCTCTCTGAAGGCATCCGAAGTTTCTGATATGTTCTTTCGGTTTTTCAAAGGGAAGAGTTTCTGAAAATATTTTATTTTTTCAATTGAGAACGAAAACCAACAGAAAAATTTATTCTAAAAACCTCAACAACGTAAAAAAAAGGTATTAGGGAACGGCTGGTGGATAATTCACAGGATAGCAAAAAGGAAATCATGGTTAAATTTTTGCTACTTTGAACGACCCAAAAAG